ATAAGCAAAGTTTGATGAATAAGTCATGCGGACCAATCAAACTTAAGATTTTGCGAACAAATCCCACTCCAAACAGCATATAAACTATATACTCATTACATTCGTTTCTGGTATTAACAAGATCATAAAATTCTTCTTGTTGTTTTTCATCCAATACTCCAACATTAAGTTTAGGAGGAGAGTCAAAAGAATCTTCTATTTTATCTTCATAGAATGTTGGTAAGATTTCTTGGATTTCATTTCATTCTTTATTAGTTTTTGTATAGCAATATGGACATATTTGCTTTAAGTTTTCTTTTTCCATTTCTTGCCAAAGATTAAGAGTATAGATTCTTTCTTCAAGTTGTTCACTTTCATATTCAGTGGATTCATCAGATTTACTTAAGGATTCATATTCACTTTCACTTTCATCAGAGCTTTCTTCTTTTGTTTTTCCTTTAGATATAGCTTCAGCTCTTGGAATTCCAGTAACATGTCTAAATTCAATAGGAACTTGAATTTTTACATTTTTATTTTTGATCTTTATTACTGATTTTTCCCAGTTAATTTTTGCTTTGGCTTTGGACAGCCAGTCATTACCAACAATTACAGAGTATATATCAGTATCTGCAACTACTACATCAATTGGTAAGGAGTATTCGCCAATTTTAATAGGTAGATTTTCTACTTCTCCAAGAGGTCTTCTTTTTTCACTATTTATATTTAACATTAAAGTTGTTGATAGTTTTGTAATTTTTAAGCCAATATATTTAAGAAAATGATTAGATATAATACTTCTAGCAGAACCACTATCAAGGATAATATTGGTAGTAACTCCATTAATATTGGCTTGACAATATAATGCTGTAGTTCTAAATTTTCCATCATCTGCATACTGGGCAGTAATCATAGGTTCTGGAGCAGATTTAATCTTTTTCTTTCGAAGGCTTCTACTTAATTCTCTTAAGTATTTGGGGTTTTCAGTAGCAAGTTGAGCAATAGAGATATTTGCCTTGATTTGTTGCAAGTCTTCAACAATTGAATATTTTGATATATCTTTACCAATCATTGGTTTATGAAATCTTGGACCTTGTAAAGGATTTCTTTTCTTTTTGGCTTTAGGAGTTTTAGAATTTTCTGCTTGAGGATCATTTACTACAATATTTTGAATCTCTGGAGTTTCATTTTCTTCTACTACTTTTCTTCTTTTTCCTACATAGGCTTCATTAATATTATTTTTATCAACTTCTTTTAAATACATCATAGAAGGGTTTGTATTATCTTGGAAAGCATCAAGACCTTCTGTATTTACTGACACTGATTCAAGTTTAAATATTGTAAAAGAGTGGCTAATTGTTGTATGATTTGATTAGGATTATTATTATTATTATTATTATTATTATTTTGTGGTTGGTTGTTATTATTTTGAACAGGGTTTGGGCGATTGTTGTTTCTGGGTTGATTATTTCTATGTTGATTATTATTATTTGCTGGAGGGTTATTTTGTTGGTTATTATTATTTCTTGGGTTAGGACAATCTCAGGCAATATGTCCAGGTTAGAAACAATTAAAGCAAACAGGTCCTCTTTGATTATTATTGTTGTTGTTATTATTATTATTACTGTTTTGGTTGTTTCTTCTAGGACGGTTGTTGTTTTCTAATTTCTTTTCAATTTTCTTTTCAAGGTTTTCCATACATTTATTGAGAGCTTCCATTATAATTTCAACAGAATTAGTAGATGTAAGAGTTGGAGTAACAATATTGTTGTTAAGATTAGGAGTAATATACATTGCAGCACCATAACGAGTAAGTTCACAAGTTTTTGCTCTGTTAACTACTCCATCCCAAGTATTTTTACCAAATGGACGTACTGCTATTTGTAATTCTGTTCTTAAATCAGTAGTAAATTTACGGACTTTTTCTATTTCTGGGTAAACATTGGCATTTGTTTCTAATCGATGATATAATTCATATAAACGCATAGCATATTGGTCTACAGTTTTAGTTGGTCTTTATATACAGTGAGTTAGTTCGGTAGCCCAAATGTCAATAAGGACAAGAGTTCGAAATCAGGTAAGGAAGCGAGGTTTAAAACTATCTACTTGATTTTGTGTATCCCAGTATCCAAAAGCTTGTTGTTGATGAGCATTAGTATACCAAATTGCTGCTTCATTTTTAAGATAAGCAGAGATAATTTGTAGTCTTCTTGCATCAGTAAAGTTGTTAGTTACAGCCATTCGTTCAAATTCCTCAATCCAAGTAACTGGATCTTGATTACCACCAGCAAAAGGTATAATTTCGATAAGTTTAGTTTCTCTTTGTTCAAGATGATTAGTATTATTAGCAACAGCATTTGTTTGATTTTAAATTTAGTTATTTAATGCTTGAATAGCATTAATTAAATTATTAATATCTTGTGCTTGTAATGCCATGTTATTATTATTTGGAGATAATAAAGGTGGAGTAATAGAAGGAGAAGGTACAGGAGTTTGATATAATTGTTCTAAATCAAATTCAGAAAATCAGAAGTTTCAGAAATTTCAGATTCTACTTCACTATGATTATAAAGAATTAAAAAGAGATCTAAAGTGAATCGATTTGTTCGAAGATAAGCAGTATAGATTTGAATAGGTAAAGAATTAAATACTAAAGAAGTTAAACTTTGTTGATATCGAATAGTAAAAGTAAAGTTTTTAAAATGTTTTAAAGATAAATTATTAATATTATATGCGATAATATCTTAAAAAACTAAGATAGTGTAATCAGAATATCGAACAACAGGGAATTCTGCAGAAAACCAAGACCAAAAATTGATAAGAGAATAATCTCTTTCTGTGTTTATAGGATAACAAATAGTACAAGAAAAGTCAGAAAGGTGTTGATTTAAGTATTCAAAAGTGTTAGGATTTAATATATATTCGTTGTGAAAGCTATTATGTAAATTGTTTCTTTATCGAAATAAATCAAAATTATCAGTCATTCAATACTTTAATCTAAATAAACATTAAAACCTTTTTGTTGTCGAAATTTTACTAATTCTTTTATTCTGTCAGAAGAGGTAATATTATTGTTAAATTCTTGCTCATAGAGATTTAAATTATTTAGTTGATAATTTGTATAGACAATATTAACAACTTGTAATTCAGTAGGATGAGAGAGATTATAACGGATTCCAGTAGGGTTGCTTGGATTTGGAAATTTAAGATAATAGGTTTGTTGATGAGTATTTTCTTCAGGGAACTCTTGTTCAATTATACCTTGATCCCAAAGTTGAGGTGGATTGTATTTAGATTTGTCGTTGGCCCAAGAGAAACCACAATGTTGAGTATATAGACAAAGAAGTTTAGTTTTCTCCGAAGTAAGAATAGATCCTTGTTGGAAGAGAGTAATAATTTGTTTTATTTGGTCAATTAGAGTTTGATGTTGTTTGTCAGTTGGAATATATCCAAAATATTCATGAGAGAAGTTAAAATGTTGTTGGTTGAACATAAAATAAAGAAGAATAAAAAAATATTTAGAGAAATAAATAAGATATGTTTATAGATAAGAATAAGAATAAATAAGAAAGATAATAAGAAAAAATAGATAATAAGATGTTAAAAGATAAGATAATAGAGAATAAGATGAATAGAAACTAAGAAAATAGAAGAGTAATATGAAAGAGATATGATAAAAGAAACTTAAGTAATAGAAAGAAATATTCCTTTTAAATATTATGTTTCCACCAGGAGGTACCAAATGTTATTGCTCTATTTTTATATAACTAGACTCAAGTTGGAGACCAGCAAAAGGGAGCAATAACTAGCAGTTCGATTTAAAGAACTAGAGCAGAAAGTAATATTTAAAAGGTAAAGTTATAATAAAATAATAATAAACAGATAAAGTGAAGTATATCCTTATTAGATTCAAAGAAGTCCAAACTTAGTTCAAGCAATACAGCGAACACTATTAGACTCAGGGAATCCAAACCTTATACACTCTAAAGATATCAAGAAATGACAAGAAAAATAACAAAAACTCAAGGAAAATGCCAATTTCCAAGAAGACAATAGTATTTTATTATTAGCAATCAAAAGTGAGAACTTATACAAAGTTATTTTGAGGAAAAGAGAAAATGGGGCTATTTATAATGTTTTGGAACTATGCAGATATTAATTTAATGTCTATTCGCATATAGGGTTACATGGTACATCACATGTTACATTTAATTTAAATTTCGTTATACTAATTAGTAAGTTCTAGAACGTTTATCAAAAATCACTAATAACTAAAAATTTTACTATGACAATCGATCTAGATTATTAAGACAAAAATGTTCTATGACCCAAAATAGGGGGTTTGCTAATGCACAGTTAGTGTTCAAAAATGGATTAAAAATCCCGGTTAATCCAGGATTGATCCGAATCCAATCCGAATCCGTAATTCGGATTGAATCCGAGAGTGATCCATGCCAATCTGATGATTTATCACATATATTTGTCACAATATAAGTGATAAATTCGAATTTATCATGTGACAAATTCAAATTTATCACTTATATTGTGGCACAAGATGTGATACATTTGAATTTATCACGTGATAAATTCAAATTTATCACATAGAGTGATTATATAAGGACATGACCTAAAATTAGACCCAATCTGGCTCAATCTGGGCCCAATCCGACATTTCAGAGGCCAAACCTAATCTGACGGTTTGGATCTGCACAAATCCGAATCTGATCCGTGTTGACTTTTTCGAACACTATGCGCAGTAATGGGTTTTTGCATTGGTTTTTGAGATATTAGCTTCTGAATATGAACGTTCCCTATACTCACTCATTAATTACTAATATATATAATATAAACGATAATAAATAGTAATACTAATAATAATAATATATA